GCATGTGCATAAGTTACGAGCAAAGTCAACTATGAGCAGCTGTAGTGCCGTCGCAGCAGCAGAAAGGTGAAGCTTCCATGCTTGAACCCTCATCGTTGTTCGGGTTCAGGGTTTAAGGGTTCAGGGCTTCGATGTTCGGATGCTTCAAAGCTGACCCTTGAACTGCGAGTCCTATACCCTAAACCCTAACCCCCCCGGAGCTCCGCAAGCCGGGAATCCGCAACCCCAAAGTCTTCACCCCACCCCACTCCTAGTCTGCAAGGCAGCAACCCATTCGCTCAGGAGCACCAGGGTTAGTTTAGGGTTTAGGGTTTTAGGGGTTTAGGGGTTTAGAGGTTTAGGGGTTTAGGTGTTTAGGGGTTAAGGGGTTTAGGGTTTAGTGTTTAGGGGTTTATATAGGGGGGTAGGGGTTTGGGGTTTGGGGTTTAGGGAATTTCTAGATTCGAAGCCCAAACCCTGCCGGCGCCTCGGCAGCGCAGCTGTCGCATGAGGCCGGTGGCAGCCATGCTATCCAGATCGTCGGGGCTGCTTCCGACGTGACAGCTTCGAGGGTTTTTAGGGTTTAGCGTTTTGGGATTTGCCACGGTTTAGGGTTTAGGGTTTAGGATTTTGAGGTTTGAACCCTCAATTCTGGGCAAGATCGTCATAGTAGGCCCCTCTGGCTGGCAAACTATGACAGCTGGTGGGGGGTAGCATGTCAAGCCCATGTTATCAAGACATGCGGATTCGGATTGATGTTTCAGCTGTTTCTTGAACGGGAGGCTGAAGATACAATCACAACCCTAAACCCTAAACCCTAAACCCTAAACCCTAAAAAGGGCAGGAAACCCACCACATCCTATGCCGTGGATCCCGAGACCCTGCACCACAAAGTCCCCAAGAAGGAACCATAAACCCAAATCCCTACATGAGCAGTTCCTAAGATAGTACGGCACCTTTATAAGAAAGACTCTCAAAGGGACCCGAATTTAGAGAAGTACCCACATACCAAGCCATGAATCGAAGAAAGCCCCATAGTGAAGAGCCCTGTTGAACAAGCACCGCTCCCTATCAGGGATTTTGTCAGGAATGCGAAAAGTATTGCAAGCCCAAAACGCTAAACCCTGAAAGCCCTAAATCCCTACGCCTTCCCTTCAACCCAAAACCCTAAAACCCTAAAACCTTGAAACCCTAAAACCTTCATGCTCGAAACCTTAATCTTTTAACCCTAATCCCTAAAAGCCTACACTCCTAAGACCCTAAAGCCCGAAACCTTAAACCCTTAAGCCCTGAACCCTAAAAGCCTACAACCATGAAGGCCTAAACACTAAACCATTGAACCCTTAACCCCTAAACTCTAAAAAGCCTAAACCCTGAAAGCTCTGAAGCCCGAAACCCTAAACCCAAAGGCTTTAAGCCCCTGAACCCTCAAACCCCAAACCCCTAAACCCTAAAAGCCTAAAAGCTTAAACCCCTAAAGCCCTACACTGCGGCGTCTCTGATCTTCGGACAGCAGCCTGTGACCCCAAACCCTACAAAATAGTAGGTAACGACCCCCTGGTTAGAGGGTTCAGGGTTTAGGGTTTAGGGTTCAGCAGCTCCGGATCGAGCAGTCTCTAGTCCAGCTCGTGCTTCAATCTTAGAATGAATACCCACCCACCCAAAGAAACCCAGAACAACAGAAGATACAAATTATTGTTCTTCTTACTCTTAGGAACTATTCTTATACAATATGCTGTTAAGCAAACACGACCCAATTACTCTTTAAGAATGATTGCGTATACCCGCTCACTGGAAGATAAAGACTCTTGTTCCTATTTCTCTTTGCTGCCCTTTACTGCCCTTGACTGCCCTTTACTGTCTTTTACTGCCCTTTACTTCCCTTTGCCTTTGCCGCCCGAACAGGACGAAACACACCAGACTGAAACCAGAGGCGGGCACGCCCCCTGTCCCGGGGCCCCCCGTGACATGTCCCGGGTTTTTCCGTGACAGGTCACGGGGCCCCCCCGGGACACCGGATATTCGTGTTTGCACGCGCGGGCGGTTTGCCGCGGAATGTGTTTTCCTAGGTGTTTTGCGTAGTTTTACCAAACCGGAGCACACACGAAAAACATGCGGACGACCGAACAAACAAGTGTTTTTTCTTGTTTTTGCGTCGTTTTACTGTCACACGTTGACATTCGTTGGTCACACCCATATAAAACCAAATACGCTCACGGATTCCGGTCTTTCGTACGGAATTTTGAACCCTTTTGGCCTCCTGGGGGAGTTTTTCGCTATCTACTTCGGCCGCTTTCCCTCTGATTTTTGCTTTTCCTTTAAGGTTGGGACGCAGCCTCCCTACAAAACCTTCGGCGCGGGGTATCTTCAAGTATGTTCCGGGAGTTGAAAAATGGCGCCGCAGGTTTTAACGACGAAAATTCATTTCACTTTTTCGCCATGTGGCCGCACCTACGCAAGTTTGCAGTTGGTGTTGAGTATGCCTAGTACTAGTACTACTACTGTTGATGGTAT